ATAGACAATCAGCACTCTGTACAATGCCCCAGAATATGATTACCATTTCAGATTTTCTCCCTCCACTAACCAGTCTACCCATTGCTCACAATACTACCAATGGTCTGGGGTTCATAACCTGGAGATATTCACCTGTGCGCCCAGTCCCCAAATGCTAATATGGAAAAATGCTTAAATGGACAACTTTGTTAGCATGAGTTTTGGTCTATTCAAGATCATTCCTCCAGGTCGTGTTCTGCTAAATCAGTCTCAATGGCTCCTCTCCTCCTCATTAGCACCAAATAAATTGCTCAAAAGCCCCCATTGCTCAATGCTTTCTTTCAAAGGAAAATTTGAAAATTGCTGCTGACACCGTTGTCTTATAAAACGTAAGCAAACCACTTAGTGATGTGGTCAGATCGTAAACAGATATCCTGATTAGGGCCAGTACCTGAGGGAAACCAAGTTAAAAAAGCTACAAGGGGGAAAAAAATCCGATATTTGAAACTGTTTAATTTTCAGTCTTCACAATGACACATATAAAAATGTCATTAGACTCAAGTGAAAATTAGAGCTGAATGCTGAACCTCAAAACTTAAAAACAGTGAACCCAAGACCAAGGAAATTCTGAACAGGAAGGAAGTTTGGTTCAATTCAGTACAAGAGCATTCAGGAATGAAATCTAAAAGTCCATTTCGCATATATGCATGTGTGGAATTCTGGATCATGCAACCCACTCCTCCCAAACAAAAAAATGGTTGTGGATACTAGGGCAATTGGAGTATCCCAGGTTAAGAGCAGCTGAATTTGTTTCAGGAAAAGGCAAGAAGAATGTGGAGTTAAGATCCTGATCAGCCACGATTCCACGGAATTGTTAAACAGGCTCAAGGGGATGAATGACCTAGTTCTGTTCCTACTTTCCATGGAAAGTAGAATTTCCACAGACTTGCCAGCAGCTTTCAGATTAATAAAACAAATAAAATCATATCAGAACAGAGAGAATGCCTCTTGTTAAACATTAATTGATTTAACATTCATTCAATCTGTATCAGATCCACACATTATCAATCTGTAAACATCTTTCAAATTCATGCAGGACAATCAGCCTACAGAAGCACATTTAATTTCATTTGCACAGGTACTAATATAGTTTGAATGCTATGAACTTTAATGATATCTTCCAAGCAAAGTATTAAATGGATTAAGATTTTAAATGGAACTTTACCGTTAAATGTGCAGTGCCCACCAACTCTGAAAAATCGCATTAGACACAATAACTGCACAACTCGGAGACTAAATCATTGATGGACTGTGCCACACAGAGTGGCTGTTCTGCAAAACAGACTGGAAAAGGTGGAACACAAAGTAACAAAAGATCCACCAGCACTTTGCTGGTCAGCTGGCGTAACCTTTGGGGAAGGACAAGCCACTGTCTGCAGTGCCATATTCATTTAGATCACAGTGAAAGCCGAGAGCAATTCAACCTGGGCAGGATTTCAAAATTACACTGGGCAATAATATCCCTGATGTTGACAAGTTAGAAAGAAACCAAAATCATAAGCTATACTGTCCAGCTACTGCAATATATGATTGAATGAGAAATGTTCAATAAAGGGCTGAAATTGAAAACTTCCTAAAACATTTCAACATAAAAAAAAAATCAAAAACCTCATGGCTCACATTCTTCATCGGGACCCTGTCTCAAGTACCTGAATATTCACAGTAGGGATGATCATTAACCCGTCACAATATATTAAAATAAATATCAGTTAGTTTGAGTTTTCACATTTTAATAAGTAAACATTTTTGTTGGTTTCAGATTGAAATACACAGAGAGAAAATACTATTGAGTACAACACAACAGTAGTGGTTGCAGAAATTGCAGTAGATATGTCTGTGGTCGCATTCAAACCACAGATATTTTTCTAAATGTATAGAAGAGAATGTTGAAAAAGTTATATTTAAAATGAAGGAGGCATTATTTCCACACTACACAGGTACTTTACATAGTACAGTATTTGCAGTCCAGAAAATGACAAGGCCTAATGGTTCTATACCTGTATTTATACTCCATACAAGCTCCCTCCAACGCTATTAATGGATCCTTCTACTCTAATTAGCCTTGCATGGTTTTCTATTTTCTTGCTAATACATGAATGCTATTCACCTTCACTAATTTTAAAGATATAGGTATTTGATAAGTGTTTTTGGTATATAAAAAATATTTTAAAAATTTTAAAAACTTAGAAAACTGAGTTCCAACCACCTCGACAGTGGCAGAAAGATGAAACTAATGTTGACAGCACGCATGAGCCCTATGGAGATCACAAGTGCTGATCATTGACAGAGGGTACGCTTCTGTGACCATTTCAATCCAACTATGTGGGCTAATTCAGTTCCCCTGTTTTTTGCAGTCTTACCTCACTCCAGGATACCATCCCCACGCCCTCTGCTCACTTGCTGTTAAAACCAAACCAAAACTCCAAACATTCAGTAACAAGAATTAGCTATCATTTCTTCAAAAAGTAGGAATTTCTTCAGTGAAAACAGTCTCACAGAAGCACATTGAATTTTGCACTCTATTATTGGATGGGTATTTAGCTCATTACAGTAGCAGAATGGGTGGTAATATACATTTGCACTCTGCAAGATGAGATATGTACCCTCCTCCAATCTCGACCTATTAACAGTTCAGTAATCCAGCTGGTGATTCCTCCTCCAGATTTCAGCAAACACTTTTTCTCTTCTCTTCAAGATGATGCAATGAAATGGTAAAGAATTTCTTTGATTGGGAACACCAGTAATAATGTCTTGTGGTGCCTCTCCTTCCACAGCTAGTACACCAGCAAGTTTGGATTTGGAAATTGGTCATTTCCATGTGAAAGATCAAATAATAAAACAATGAAACATAAACTAATCTCCTTAAGAAGGAAAATGATTTGAAAGCAAAGTTCCTGACAGTATGCTTGACTTTTTAAATTTAGCGGAGAACCTCCAATCTAAAATGCAATACAGTTATATTTTCTGTAAAATTCCCCTCGAAAATAGCACTGCAAAAAGACAAAAAGATTCAATATTTTAAGACAAACGCTTACCGTGAGCTAACCTGATCATACAACTTTTTTTTATCCCAGATATAAACATTCTTGCCTTGTTGTGACTTACACGTTTTGCTCTCCTACAGACTCTGAGGCATTAAGAGGGAGATCTGGATCAGAGTGCTAGATAGGAAACGATGCTGAAATGACAGATACCACTTTGGATGCACCAATAGTGACTGAAGCCCTGAACTAGAGGTACACCCATTTCAAACCGAACACATACCCAGATACATCTATGGGCGAGGGTATTTAAAAAGTGTATATATAAAAAAAAGTCAAGCTTCGTTTCTCCAACTGCATACCTGCTTCCTGCACAGAATTCCACCGCTCCGTTCTGGTTTACTCCCATTGCATAGGGCTCACTGCAATCCCAGCAAAACCTTAACAACATAAAAATTCTTAGCGAATTTGTTCTGCGTTTGTTGGGACTGGCCTGTAGCAAACACATCCGTTGTCCAGTCAGCTCCATAGCCCTAATGATCGGAGATTCCAGTCGTGTGAGGAAGCATGCTAATTTACTGACACTGTTAAGCAAATTCTTCACAATATCTTCCCTTTAAGTCAAGAACTGGGGCTCGTACTAGCAAATTAAGTCCACGCTTGATTGCAAACGGCTCGCAGCTTCCTCTCCCCCCTCCCTAAAAAGAGGTACCGATTGTTACAGAGACGAGTAGATATTAGAAGCTGCATGGCGAGACTTTATACAGAGAGGCTGCAAGGAGGATACTGAAATCGATTTATTTCCTTTTAATTAATCATTTAAACGCATTTCACGAGGCACATCTAAAAGTGGAATTTAAAGAGTATGCCAGTCAAGATAAACCATTTCTGAAATCTACAACGCAAGTTCTCTGATAAGCAAAATGTTCCATTTCCTCCCGCTTCATTTCCATAGTAACAGAATATAGAGCAAATATTAATTTGTAACAAATGTGTTGCAACATTCCTGATGATACATCAAAAGGGTGAAAAGACTTTTCCAGAAGATAACATCCCCCGAATTTACTCCATCACAGAAACATGAAACGATACAATTTCAGATCCAATAGAAAATCTGATGATTTAGAAGCACAGAGCAAAGACATCAGAGCCTCAAACTCCGCTCGGAAGTACTCAGCGCCCTCTTATTGTGCTCAAAAAGAAAATATTTTGCGAAACCAAACTTAATTAAGATTTGCAAAAAACTGAAATGTAATGAAGGATAAATGATCAAATGATCTTATTAACCAATACCATCTCAGGACAGAAAAAAAAAGTACATCAGGTCAACAGTTGTATCAAACAGATGTGGGGGTGGGGGGGATGAAGAGCGGAAAGGGAAAAAAAATCGCAAAGGTTCTTCCGATAGTGCGAATGGGAATCTCCTCCGTTTGAATCCAGAAAGTGGAAGGGAAAATGTGCAAAACAAAATCGGTTACAAAAAGACTGAAAAAAAACATTACGAAATGCACTAATCAGACTCCTTCTGAAAATGCATCACCCTGTAGCTCCCCGGTTTAAAAGTCGAAAATGTTGAGAAGTTGAGATTGAGGCGCCCAGCACAGTACAACGATCAGACAGCTAATGTGGAAAGATTCTGTTTGCAGACATACACACAGAAAAGACTCCTCCGCTCATCGCTTAACAATGCAGCTACTTTCCCACCCATCAGCTGTAAAACTGGAGAGAAGAGGTGGGGAGAGAGAAAAGGAAAAAAATACACAAGAGATGGAAAGGCGGAGAGAGAGAGGAGAGATGCAAGAGCAATGGATAAATAAAGCTGTGCCCTTTCTTCCGGCTGGGACAATGACTGAGTGAAATGAAGTGTCTAGAGCTGCGAGCTCCTGTGTGCAATGTATCCGTGTGCGCCGCTGGTTACACTGTATTGCCCCGTGATACAGTGTTGCACCGCGGTGACTCTGCCTGTGAATGACAGCTTACCTTCATGCCAATCTTCATCAGACTGACACCACCACCGCGCCGCCACGCGCCCACATCGATACATCCCCATGACGTCAGCGCGCCCCGGCTCCGCCCCCTCCCGCCCCGCCCCCTCCCCTCCGATTGGTCGCGGTCTCCAACCCACGCCCCGGCCCATGTGTCCATTGGACCGAATCCGGAAGATGGCCCCGCCCCCTGCGCCCCAGCAGATGCAGGGCTGAGGGGGAGGGGAGGGGACGGGGAAGGAGCAACCGTGTCATTTAGCCCACACCCCCCTCCCAAAAAATCCGGCTGGCCCCGCCCCCTCGAACAAAGCTTGGGTGTGATTTGGAGGTGCCGCTGTTGGACGAGGGTGGACAAAGTCAGGAGTCACACGACGCTAGGTTATACTGCAACAGGTTTATTTGGAAATGACACAAGCTTTCGAAGCGCTGCCCCTTCGCCAGGTGCATTGAGCTTGGCCATTGGTGGTGGGGGGGTGCTGGGGGTATGTAATTGTCATAGTCCACGCCCTCCGCCTGGCCCCGCCCCCCACCCCAGCTGGGACTGGACATGAGGGGCCCGCCCTAGATACGCCCCCTCGCCATCCTCTTGACTGTTATTGGGCATCACCTCTGTCTATCAACCGTTGCCACGGCGCCTGTTCCCTAAAATGTTAATATACATCAGCTTGCAATTTGTAAAGGGACCCAAGGTCATGCCTGCCCACCCACACCCTCCCAGCTGGTAAGGGAATTCGGGGAAATGAACCCACACCCAGCTAGCAATGGAGATTGGGGAATGGAGCAAGCTTGCAGTGGGCCACCCAGCTATCTATCTCCAACGGGCGAAGTAAAACACCATAATTGCAATGCATTACATTTTTATGGAAACCTGATTAAAAATTTATCAATGTTTCAGCTTTTTTCCCCTCTTTTGGTAAGAGAGTCGGAATCAAGTTATTGCTACTGCTTTATCTCCTCCTCTGTGCCACTACATTAAAATTACATATGCCAAGCAATTTCTAACTTGGAAGGTGCTGCCAACAAATACCATAATAGCTGCCAGGTAGGTTATTTACTCTTTCAGAATAGACAAAGCGAAGTTCTAAGTCATGTAACTGCATCTATCTCAAACTATTCAATCAGACAACCAAATCTAAACAAAAGAAAAGCATCTTATATTTACATAGCAACTTAATGTAATTAAATTTCCCAAGATGCTTCACAGGATTTTTCCTTGCACCACATACAAGGAAATAAAGTATTAGTGCAAGTAGTCAAAAGCTTGCTTTGAATTTTAGGCAATGCCTTGAAGAAGGAATGGAAAGTTAAAGAGGGGGAATGACAGAGAGGGAATTCCAGTGTTTCGGGCCTTAGGAGCTATTTCTGTCAATAGTGGAGCATCATTCTTTACGGCTGGAGAAGCCAGGGCTCAAAGAGATTGCAGTAATAGGGAGGGGTGAGGTGTTGAAGGAATTTGAAAATGAGGATGAGAGTTCTAAAATGGAGGTGTTACCTCCCTGTACTGAATTAGATCAGTAAGTGAGATGCTTAAGTCAATTGTTTTGGCTATGCCATAGCAGTTCTGGTGATGTAGGAGCAGTATCCCTACCTCTGAGCCAGGACGCCAGGGTTCAAGTTCTATCTGTTCCAGAGGTGCATAATAACATCTTTGAACAGGGATAAGCAGTCTTAGTGATGAGGCAAAAAGGTAGTATGAAGTTCATTTCAAAGTGAATGTAACACAAGATTGCAAACAGTCTGGCTCAACCTCAGACAGTTGGCAGAAGGAGGGATAAAATTGGTCGCAAAGGAACAGACTTACAGACAAGGACTAAAGACAATGTTTTTGTTTACCCAATATTTGGCTGGAATAAATTTCTCCTCATGTAGTCATGGACAGCGTAGAAACAATCTGATGATTAGAGAAGGTAACGATATCAACAAAAGTAAATGCAAGCTAGAGCTATGCAAAATTGTGTATATGTGGAAACTGATGATGCATTTTTGGGTGATGTCACAGATGACCAGCAGATAGCTGAGAAATAATGGTAAACTGCACAAATTAAAGGAAGAAAAGCCTATTGAGGAGATTGCTTACCTATGACTTGATAAAGTTCAAGTTTCACCTTGACATGTTTTAGTACATGGTCAACACTTACACCTTTGAATGAGAAGGTAAAAATAACAGTCTGTGAATTCCAGGTAAAATATCTACAAATAACCTTATACAAGTTAGGAACACAAACAATGGTAATTTACATTTATATTGCTTCTTTATTATATAAATAAATCCCTCAGTGTGCACAAATGAAAATTGAAAGGAAAATGGATCTTTGGCCATAGGGTAAAAAATTAGCTGAAGTAACTTTGTATTTGTTTTTTGGAAGCAAACCATTATGCTGACTGAGAGAAAGATACTGATGACTTATGAGCAGGAAAATAGACCTAAATCAAATATCACCAGAAGAAAAACTGACTTAAGTCACCAACTAAGGAGATATTGTCATGCCACACTCCCAAAATGCTCGGAGTGCTACAGATGAGTTACAGAATATTTCATAAGTGCAAAATAATGGCAGGGTAATAAACTTCTATTATTTTCCTCATTTTTTTATTGGTGTTGAATCTCTGCATGTTACAGTTTAGTAAGTTACAAATATTATTCTTTGGTGAGTGGGAGTTGAATGATTCTCTCACTTTGGTCTTACAATTCATTTGTTTTCATGTAGTGAGGGTTTAACTTTGTAAAATATCAGAAGCTGCTTCACAAGAGCATTCACTGAGCTGCAAATCATATGTTAGGACAGGAAACAAAGTATCACAGAATGGTTATGACACAGAAGGCTATTCATCCTGCTGTGTCCATGGTTGCTCTCTGAAGTGGCAATTTACCTCATGCCATTCCTGTTCTTCTTTCTGATGCAATACAGGTAGGCTTGAAGGAACATCTCAAATGGTCTCCATGCATTAGGAAGGACATTAAGCTGGAGAGAGTTCAGAAGAGATCTACCAGGATGTTGCTGGGAATGGAAGATATGTTATAAGGAGAGGCTGGAAAGGCTGGGACTTGTTTTCACTGGAGTGTAGGAGGTTGAGAGGGGACTTTGTAGAGGTTTATAAAATTATGAGGGGCATAGCTAAGTTGAATGGCAGGTGTCTTTTCTCTATGGTGGGCAATTTCAAGACTAGGGGGCATATTCATAAGGTGACAGGAGAAAGATTTAAAAAAGACACGAGGAGCACTTTTGTTTACACAGAGAGTGGTTTGTGTGTGGAATGAACTTCCAGAGAAAGTGGTGGATGCAGGTACAGTCACAATGTTTAAAAGACATTTAGATAAGTACATGAATAAGAAATGTTTGGAGGATTTTGGGCCAAGCGCAGGCAGGTAGAACTAGTTTAGTTTGGGATTATAGTCAGCATGGACTAGTTGGACCGAAGAATCTGTTTCCGTGCTCTATGACTCTATGACTGAGCATTCCTAAAAACGGTCACACAGAGAATTACTGGCTGAAAGTAATGAGAAAAATTAGAACTGAAGAACTGATGAATAAAGTAACTTGTGTTTCAGTTTGATAAATTTAAGGAGCTGGAACAAATAAGTCAGAAATCTGTCAGACAATAGGAAACAAATGCTAATTATGATGGTAGTGTTAGCAAAAGAAATTAAACCCTTCTCCCTTATCCCCAGTTCAGATTATATATGGCTCCATGCTACAATTTTTTTTTTGGAAAAAAGTAGCTGATTTAAGTGCAGAGGATGCAGATGCTCTCTTTTCAAACTTAATTTCGGTTGAGAAGTTAAATTGAAGTGCCATCAATCTCTTCAGGTGGAAGTGAAAGATTCTATCGCCCTATTCAAGGAGCTGGGGGTTGTCCCAGTATTCTGGCTTCTATTCCTTCCTTAACAAATAGCTATTTGTGATATCTTATAGGACACAATTTGACTGCTGCATTTACCTGCCTGACCACACTGATTGTACTTCAGAAATAACTAATTGGATGCGAAGGGCTTTGAACATGAGTATGCATGTTCTTCTTTCTCCTTTCTTAATCCCAGTCCATCCAGGTTTCTTTTCTTAAGGGTTTAACAAAGCTCTTATTTCATAGGTATTAATTATTATCCTGAATTTACCTTCACCACACTTCATCTGCAGTTCAACTAAACTATTCCTTGAAATTCTGCCCCCTTGTCATTTTCAGAATAATGTAACAACTGAAGGCATAGGTACAGCCAAAGGAAATTGAGTTTTTTTCCACCTTCAATCTCAAAGCACTATGCTATATCAAATATGGCATTCTTTCTGAGATCCCAAGGAATTCCATGGACCAGATTAAAGAGAATACTTAAGTGGCAGAAGACATTTTTGATTTTATAGAAGATAAAACTGCATTGATGTATTCTTATTATCTGTCAAGACTGAATATGATGATGCTGTGAGTGCACCAGAAACCTTATATGTGTCACATTCACTACTAATAAATAAAATGATGTTTGAGATGTGTTTTCTCAAACCTCAATGAGACACCCAGTTCATTTTTTTAAATAAAATGATTAAACTTGAGATTTGTATTAAGGATTAATTCTATTACCAGGCATAAATTGTAGGGCTATTACAGTTGACAACTTTTACACAATGTCTTGAAGAGAAAGTCAAATACAATTTTTCTTAGCTCCCAGTCAAACTAGAACTGTAGCAAAGCCAAGTATAGCAAGCATCGTTCAAAAGGAATGAAAGGGGTTTGCACAAACCAAATGAGAACTAACAGAAATTATGGTCACTGGCTTTGTGGCGTCACACACCTACTCATCACTGTTGATTCTTTCAAAAGTAAACAATACATTTTCTGCAGTAGAAAAGCCTAAAGAAAGCTATCTTGACTTCAAGACAAAAAAATTATGAATGGGATAATGAGGCTATCCGGCCTTTTAATTTCAACAGTATTTAGACTGTAAACAAAGGACAAATCCTTTAATATGTGAAGAAGCCCATGAGCAGAAAGCATAAGGTTTCCAAATATTTACAATATACATCAAGTATCAAAAAGAAATCCATAGAAAACCCTCCAGGACTTGAAAACTGTATT